ATTTCATTTGTGAGGCTGATTCCTAAAGTGATTCAGATTGCTGTTCGAACAGTTGGTGTCGAAGTTGAAGTCGTATGTTTCGCTTTTGAAGCATCGGATGTTGCTGGCTATTTTTGCGAGTAATAATGAACAGACACCAAATGCTGTAGCCATTTAACGCCGTAACTCCGTTGGAATCTGAATGTTTTGCTGATTCTTAATGTATCGAGTAGGTGAAAAATTCATTAATATGAATTGCTTCTCCCTTCTGAATTCAGTTCCATTAGTCCAGTGGTTCTCATCGGGGATGAAACCACCCATTTTGGGTGGTTTGGAAGTGTCAAGGAGCAGTGGAGGGGGTTGGGAAATTGGTATTTTGTGGAGTTGTTATTTTATGATCGAACACCATTGTGATGGTGCTTTTTAACTCGGGTTTAAATGTGGTTAATTGATGGCATTCTCCAATTTTCTGAATATCATTAGCTCATTCGGACCTAACAGGGTTTTCATTCGTTTTAATAGGGTTTTCATTCTTTTCCGAGCTGTTGCAATCACTCTCATAACTTTTATCTCCAAAATTATTCTCTTCTGCTATTTTCTCATTCATTTCACTCAACAATTAAAGTCAAATTCTCATTCTATCAAATGCACTCTATAATTCATCATTTGACTGCCGAATGTTGTTCAGCAATTCAATTCAATTGTTGTATTGTTGATTTCGGTTGTCAACACTCGTCAACGCATCCAATAAAGAGTATATGCCACAGAATGAGAAGTTGATTTGAACTGTGAAATGAAATTGAGACGAAGTGAATGATAAAAACAAATCAATAGAACGATATTTGCATGCGATAGCTATGAGAGCGAATACAACACGTCTGAAAAGAATGAGAATCCATCTAAATGAGTTTGAAGTGAACATGTCACAGAAAATAGCTTTCCATGCAGTCATAATCGATTACAATCCAAGACAATGGTTCTCATAGGAGGTGAAATTACCCGTTTTGGGCCATTCGGGGGTGACTACAGCCGGCCACATCATCAAAAGAGGTAATGGAGCATCCGAACTTAAGAACCACTGCATTAGTCGAAGAATTTTCAGAGAGGAGCAATTTTGAATCTGTCTTCATTATTGCTCGTTACCCATAAGTCATCTGTCCTCAAGATCATTCCACTCGAAATGATGACAAAAGGTGATCCCAATTGAGCGAAGAGAAGTGTGAATCATACCACGAATACCATCTCTGCATGATCCGTGCCTCCTTGATCTCATTCGAGTTGTTTTGATATTGCGAGCGATAGTGTTCAGTTCAGAGGCGCTGTTGAATTCAAGGATTTAAACGGATTTATTTAATGGTGAATCTTAAGGAGGGATATTCTATTTTATTGAATCACCACTCAGCGAATTGCCAATTTCCTATTGCTCTTATGTAACGTGCCATCAGCTCGAATGGATCTATTGAATTGCTCTGTTCTAAAAAACAAATAAGTCGCTGACCATCCCTCTATTTCTTATGAACGTCTTCAACCATTATTTAGAATATTGAATTAACTGTTAACGATAAATTCACTGTTCAAAAGTTATCATGATGTCTGCAAATAACCATCAATAATTGATAGTAAGAAAAAAAACAAACTCATCACACAACTGCTACTGTGTTTGTATGCATTCCAAACAATTCGTTCTTACAGTGAAACACAGCATGCATTATTTGATTAGATGATGACCCCGTTTAACCGATTGCATGTATCAATAGATGACATAATTCATTGTCATAATCATTCGCACGAATGGTTTCACCTATCTCGACTGGAATTTCCATTAAATTCCACCCATTCTATGCACTTCCTGAAGACGTTCTCCTTTTGCGTCATTAGTCGCCGTGCACTGAACACCATCATTTTATTTAGTTCTTAGTTAGATCATCAGACAATTCGAATGTCTTCTTTCATTTTTGCGAATTCGAGAAATTCCGACTAAACGTTCTCATTGAATTTCACTTTCGATTCCCTTGTTGAAGAATTCAGTGTGTGTGTCTATTGTTTGTACTATCCATTGGGCACATTTCCCTGTGACCAAGTTGAAATTGATTAGTTTGTTATGGAAATGTCAATGCAATTAATTTCATGCGTTTATCTGATGAATTTTTCTAATGGTCAGATTGATGTGTGAACAAATCGATTTTAATTTATTGACTGCGTGTAGCATTTCGTGTTGAATTCAGAATTCCACTGAATCGCTCATTGTTTTGTTTATTGTCGACACCATCAAATTTCGTCGCATTGGGATGTTTCTGTGCGTTTTTTTTTGGTAGCGATTCGAATTTGGAATAACCCCTCAAAAATCAATTGATAGTGAATATCAATATATCAGTGCAATTTAATTGCTGGTAATAAAAGCGGTGGATGTCCTAAAAACAAAAAAGATATTCTATCGACGATACTCACTGGTCAGAGCTGTTTCAGTCAAGCACGCACGTCAAGCCTAGTTGGAGCTGCTGGAGAAACGAAGATATTTTTCCAGCATTCAGACGAACTTAGGTCGACATCGTGATGGTACGGGATGTAACAAAATTGGGTCTCTTCATCTTGTCGCTTTCAATTGTCATTATCGAAGCGGTAAGATGAGAATTCTTTCACTCAATTCAGCTTATTGTAATCATGAGATCCCTGAGTAAAGAGGAGTATTATTTATTCGAAGTGAAATTTGAATCGGAAATTTCATTCGCATATCGATGCGATAAAACAACGGGTAGCGGAGAACCAACAAAGAAATTTTCAAATACTCAATGTGATTGAAAGAACTTGAAATGAAAAAATTCCATGAAGTCAACGGTAAATTCGTTATCATGGATGAACTCACTTCTTCTTGCGATATATTGGTCAGGGAGCATGTCACGATTCGATCTCAGAATGACATTGATCTAAATCTCTAAACATCATACCATGGATTTGATCATTACAAGGATTCCGATTTAATTCAGGTCTGACCCAGTGCTTTTCAAATTTCAGAAACGACCGTTGATTAGTGAGTTGACTTCAGAGGAAATATTCACGATACTGCATCGAAATGATCCACATTATGAACTGAAAACACCGCCGCCTCGACCGCATTCACACCTTCCCGACATCGAGGTGGAACCTTAACTTATTCAAGTGAATGCATTCATCTGACAGTATGTCTTGAGAGCTTGCAGCAATTGCTTTAAGACTGTCAAAACTTCAGCGAAATGTTACAACGCCTAGGGAGAGCATTTGCAAATTACTAATTTCTCCGGCATTCAGTTGATTTCTGAGTTTCTTCTTACACTCAGGATTTTAGCGTTATGCACTATCCGTGAACTTTCTTGATCATCTGTTAGTAATTGGTCAAACGAATTTCTGCAATCAGCTGAATGAGTTCAATAATTCATAATTCATATTACAGCCGCATGAACACATTCAGAGACGTAAAATAGGGATTGTGGAGCATCAGCTTCCACTTGCATCCAATCGTCAACGAATCGAAAACTATGATCGCCCGCAAACAACCGATCGATTCGAGGCGCAAACGCTGAAGACACGAAAACCTTTGAAACGGGTATTCATTAGTAGCTCATCGCATCGGCTCTCAAGGATACCTTCGAGCAGAACGTATTCTGCCTTACACGGAGATAATTTCCGGGAAGAGGTAGTCGGCACTGGTGCGGAAAATTTCGGCACAGAGCCGACAATAACAGAAAGGATAACAATGCCCGCAACGACACCAATGGCGCCGGTAAAGTCAATGACAAGAAGTTCTCAGCACGTGAGTTGCTTGCTCTTCAATAATGAAACAAACTAGATGAACATTTGAGGAATTTGAGTCAAGGGTCATCCACAAATATCAGAACTCAGTACCATCTAAAGATATGGTCTTAGATGTTGTTTTTTTTTCAGCGAAATTGAATATGTTCTTGAGAATTTTTATATCTTTCACAATATCCAATGGTTTTATTGCACAAAGACTAAATGAGAATCGAAAAGCATATCCAAAACTTAAATGGTGATCATCTAAAAAGAAAGCTGCGAAAGATCAAATAACTGATCGATTGACTAAAATAGTGAAATGATTACAGGTGCTTACTGAAGCCGATATTGACTTAGTGGCTGTCTGCGAACAAGTGAAACGGATCTCGCAAACCTATCGAATTCGGGATATGCCCAAATTTGCTCGAAACAATTGCGTATTGATTCGAATGTATTATCCGAAAGCAGCGTGCGAGGATATCTGGATCATTGTTGACTATTGTTTTCCTCAGGAAGCTGCACAATTTGCTCATTAGAGTTTTGTAAATATTGCTATAATATAATGTCAAACATTCATGTTCGCCTCTAATAACATTAATTCATTGTATGTAAATAAAGTCAATCGTTTCAATCGTTCACGTTCTCAAAAATCGCACACTGATGACTTGATCATGCCGCTTCAAAAATTCTGCTGCAAGGAAACTCTATTCGTAGAGTAATTTAACTTTTTATGTTCCTAACTTGAACGTAATCATCCAAAATGCTCTTGACGTTTTTGCGAACGGTTAAGGTCACCACTGGAATGTTCACTATACATGGAGTTTTCGCGATGAAATTCCGTTACCCATCAACAAGATGCCAACATTATAAACAAAAATTTGATTTACTAGAGTCTGTTCTTATCAGAAACAATACATTAGATATAAAATTTACGATAGAACTGGTAAATTGTGCACATCTTATAAAACTGTTCCATTGCTATATCGCTTTACAGACAGCAACGACATGTTTTGAATATTCTTCCCTGCAGAAGTCACTCCAAATCAAGTCAAAAATGCCAT